GAGATTTTTGGAGTTAATTTTAAATCGGTCCAGCTCACATAAATCTCAATATTTTTCCGAAACATTTTGGCGGAAGTCTTACAGCATAATAAATATAACTCTGGTGAAAAACCTCAACTTTTTTTGGTAAGGCAACTTATTTACATACATATACATATGTATCTAAGTATGTAGGGAAGTTAGAAGTCTTCTGTATTTCAAAAATGTCAATTAAGCGAAAGCAAAAATGAGGTATATTTATTTAAAATACTCTTTTGTATGCAGCTTTTTTCCGCTTATCAGTTGAAAAAGTGGTAAGTAAACCACGAAGAGTTCTTACTTTGCTTTGCATTAATGTGATGGAATTTTGTGTTGGTACTTTTTCAATTGATATGAAAAGGGGATTTTTTCAAAAGCCAACAAAAAAAAAATAGTCCTACTTAATTTTGGTTTTGCTAGTGTGCCACTTTTTCACATTGCACTTTCATGCTTAACTGGAAACACGCGCGTAGTAGAGTTAATATGCATTCACTGGAAATTTCGATAAACTGCAGCCATGTCAAAATCATAACCGACACATTTTGACGTAGAATACGTCTTACCTTAAGGTATGGGGGCTATGTTCAAATGTTGTAGTTGTAATTTTTAGAGCTTCACAAAAACGCTTATTGCACGAGAACTAATAAAGCGATTTCAAAGAAAAGTGTGGCGTTTCAAAGATAAAATTCCAAACCTGTCGACAGATTCATTTTTGTAAATAACCAATTCGGTTTCTGTCGTAAAAACAACGGTAAACATTGCCTTATTTTGGGGTCAATTTTGAGCCTTTAAAGTGCTCTAGCAACTTATTGTTGGCATATATAACTTTCATTTTCGGGATATAGGTTCTTTGGAGCAGTAGAAATATTATCGGGTACAAATTTTATATAAATTTAACAAATATTGAGCATTTTAAGGCAAAAAATTGTTGAAAAAATTTGCAAATTTTTTTCATTACCAAAATGCTCGAAAACCGCTCCAATGATTTTGTTTTTGTTTTCTTTAATCAAAAAGTCAAGAGTTTTCCTTTCGTTTGGTATATGGGAAGTATTGGTTGATATCTTCTATATATGTTTATTTTATTCAAATATATGGGCATAAATGATTTTCCATACAAAATCACCTCGTCATCATTTTGCAAACACGTGCATATGTTGGAAGTGTGGGAAGGAGACAAAAAGTATGTATGCGTATGTAATGCGGCTTTTGATAAACAGAGGCGCGCTATTTATAACCTAATCGCAGCGTGTGTACATATGTAAATACATACATACGTACATATGTTGATTGCAGTTAATGTGGATCTGTTTCTATTTTTAGTAATCTATGTATGTCTATACATACATATGTACATACATATTATATATGTACATACATATATGAACACATGTATGCATAATACGCGAAGACTTTTCGAAGTGAAACAACATTTAGAAAAAGTCCAATCCAAGAATAAAAGTAAAGGTGAGGACGTACATAGATAAAGGCCAAGGTAAAAATAAACACAAAAACAAAGTTGAGTAAAGATAAAGGCAAACATGAAGACCAAGGTAAATTTAAACACTTTACTTATATGTATAAGTGCAAAGGTGAAGGGGAATATGTATATGAAGAATATGATAAACATAAAAATAAAAACAAAGATAAATATAAAGAAAAAGATGCGGATGAGGATACCGATAAAAGTATAGATGAAGATAGAGGAAGAAAGATTAAAATAAAGGTAGTTGTAGAGAAAAGGATATAGATAAAGGCACAGAGACTCAATCTCGGAACTATTTCGGGATTTTAGGGATTCTCGGGACTTATCGATATAATCGATATTTTGTTGGTTTTTTTTATCGATTTTGTTATCGAAATTTTTATCGATAGTTATTGATTTTGCTATCGATATTTTTGGAAATTATCGATATAATGATCGATATTTTTATCGATTTTGTTATCTCTTTATTATCGATTTTGTTATCGATTTTATTATCGATTTTGTTATCGATATTTTTATCGATTTTGTTATCGATATTTTTATTGGTTTTGTTATCGATTTTGCTAACGATTTTGTTATCGATATTTTTATAGATTTTGTTATCGATATTTTTATAGATTTTGTTATCGATATTTTCAGAACTTATCGATATAATGATCGATTTGGTTATTTATTTTGCTATCGATATTTTCACTTATCGATATAATGATCGATATTTTTATCGATTTTGTTATCGACATTTTAATCGATTTTGTCATCGGTTTTACTCCATTATGTATAGTATATGCACTTAGAAAAAATAAATCATATCGTCCTTGTTTCAATTTAAAACACATACATATGATATGTCGCCAAACGACCTGTTGTTTAGTTCAAAGAGTTTTTTGAGATTTTTTCGTCTGAATATGATTTCGTTCTGTACTTTATTGATACTTTTTCGTAATTAAGAAAAATCAAAATTTATATTTTGCGTTTAACAGCATTCGAACCCGAGTCTTCCCGAAAGTTAACAAATAGTAACAAGTATCTCTGCGCCCTTAGCTACAACCACAACATGTAAATGTGTTTTCAAATGTACAGTTTGAATTAAATTTCTTTCAAGCGCTCAAACAATTTTATATTCAGTTTTTTCAATAAATATCTTTTCTGTTCAAAATTTCAAATCTTTAAATCTCAGTAAGCTGTAGAAAAAAACAATGGTATAAAATAAAAATAAAAATAGGGCTTTCGCTTATATTCTCATTGAGTTCTTTTCACTTAGAAGTATGTAAATTTGTAAAATTTTGGAAAAACCCTTTTTTTCTTAGTGTGTGATTTCGTTTTTGACTTGGATATGCTCTTAACCATACCACGTATTCTACGTTTAAATATAGCGGCTGTATCTCCGATACAGCCTGCAGACCAAGACGAAGGCGCTGGACTGTTCCTTTTTTTTTCTGCTTTTCGTAGTATTTGTGTTCCGTAGTTTGAGTTCAAAGAAAAATCTCATCATGGCGATGCTGTTTCAATTAAATGTTAAAAAAAAAACACGACAAAAGTGGTTGCATTTTCGGGGAAACACCCAGCATATGGACTTGATCACGAATGCTTTAATAGAAAGAAAGACATTATTGGACTTTTATTTCTCGTATTGCTTCCGTAAATTAAAATTGTTTACATTACACTCGTTCGAAAACTAGCAACTGAGTTTTCTAAAATGTATCCTCAGACCCTACATTTTTGGGTTTCTAAGGTTTTGAGTGAAGCCCAACAAATTTCAAAATTATAACGGAATGTTGAAAATTTCGTGCTATTAAAAAAAAAAAACAAAAAAGTCATGTGCAAACCGGGTATTATTTGATGATGAAGTATCTCTTTTAAATTTAATATCCATCGGTTGGCTTTCGTGAAACTCGCTATTAATGGCACACAATATTCCTGTTTTTATGTTAATAAAAATGGATCCTAACTTTGCTTCCACACTAAGTTTGACACTCAATTATTTCAATTTAATGACCAGTGGAAACGCGGTAATATTCCGGATGCTCGATAACTCTTAAATTTTCAGCTTTCCAAACCACGGCCGAATCGGAATGAAAATAATTATGTTTCTATAAGCATTGTTTACAGCGCTAGGTTGAAATGCAGATTGCCAAATTAGTTACCGGTGTAAGTCTTTTACTGTGCATTTTCATATTTTTAGTTTAAATTCAACGCTTGTAATAAACGCTGGACTGTAGTATTTGGTACTGAAACTGGATAAGCAATTCTAAATGCATTTGACACAGTATACATACACATACACAGAATTTGTGTGAACATTTTCAATTAAACCCAAGTCTCAAATAAAATTAAAAACAAGAGACCGAAAAAAATAATATTTTGGAAAAATTTGCTATTCTTTTAATTCTTGTACAAAGTTCGAAATTTGGCGAAACTTTCAAAAAAAAAAATAAACATAAAATAAAAGAAAAAAGCTTGTTAAAATGTCCCTACTAACAGACATATATTTATTAGCGTGGGCCGAAAATCCGCTTTTTTAGAATTTTGATTGGTAATAGAACATAGAATAGGCCCGCCCAAGTCCATCAAAGTTTAATATGGCCAAAAAATAAAAATTAATAAATAAATTAAGTAATAATTTTTTTTACTAAAATTGCAATAATCTTCTAAAGTATTAGTCCTACATAATTTGGTATATGGACCTTTTTTTGTAGAGAATCGAAGTTAGCAAAATTTTTTTTTTTTTAGTACTTGAACTTTGATGGACTTGGGCGAGCCTAAGATATTGACCAAAAATTTTTAACATTGCACACAGATATTTTTTAGAGCATAATGTACGATATTTTTGCTATTACCAATCAAAATTCTAAAAAAGCGGATTTTCGGCCCACGCTAATATTTAGGTACTGGCTCAGAACGTTGCACAGTGAGATTGCAGCGGAAAAAATTTAGTTTTTTGAACATTCAATTCTTATATTTGGTTTTGCCTTATAAAGCAATATCTGAATAAGAAAAATTCATTATAACCTTATGGAGTTGACAATAAAAATGAAAATAACAGAAGTCAGTAGAATTTTATTTAACTAAAATCTATTGCGACTTTTATTCAACTGCGCAATGTGTTTTTCTAATAACTTTTCGATTTTTGAAAAAAAAAACTGGGCTCATAATTGCGACTTTTAAGGCGTTTTTGAGGTTAAGTTTGCATAGGAGGTATGTGTTAAAATAAACGGATTACTCCATTTTTTTTTTTGTTTTTTGTTATAATATTAATGCTAACATATGCGCAAAATTTCGGAATGATATGTTAATAGGTACGCTTTTTCAATCTCTCACGCCAAATTCTGTTTTTTTTCCTTTGCTTATTTTTGTCCATAAATGTTGCGTACGGAAAATTGTGATTCTACGCTAACTTCTAATTTAAAAAAAAAAATGTATGGAGCCGTACCACTGTGCGCTGTGACTCCTTATCGGTATCGGCGAAGGTACTTATACGTACAACATTCAAAGGGGCGGTACTTATAACATAATGAATGTTTCTGCCTATTAATTTAGCTCGCGAATGCCCTCAGACTGGCAGGGACACCATTGGCCCATTAGTTGTCCATCTTGGCGATTTCAAAATAAGGTATAAGCATATCTGGAAATTAGTATTTAGATTTCGTAAAAATAGTGCACTATGCTAGAGTACTAAGTGAAAATCATTTTTTAAGAAGTACATACCTAACTTTTGGGCTAGACGAATTTACTACTGGGTATTCATATGACATGCATGAGGGCATGCATTCTATTATTAAATTTTTACGTACTTTAAATGCCACTCATAATTTATAGTCGAGTAGTATTATTCAGTCTATTGCCGGGAACCCCCTTTGATTTCAATTCTAGTACTTAACCTTCTTATCATTCAAGCAGACCACTCCAAAAGCTGTACGACTTCATTAAGCCCTAGTACAAGAATATAAATAACGATGCTATCAATATAAAGATAACAATACACAATCGACTCAAAATTTGCTTTAGAAATCGCGGGAACAATACATTTGCTGTTTGGTTTGTTTTTTTGGCACAAATACAAGTACTTACATACAAATGTACATACAAATATGTTTGAACAATAAATACTTCTTCAGTAATTTAATAGAAATAAGCTACAACAAAAATTTTTAAATACTAATGAAAAAACTAAACCTTCGCTTAATCGTTCACTTTGGCTGCTCCCAATGCGGCCACTGCTTCACAGCCGCATAGAGTGCATCACCCGGACATAA